GACCTTCGTGTGGTTCTCGAGGCGGCGGTAGCACCGCGCTCCGTCTGTGTGCCAGATCAGCACGTCGGCCCCCGTGTGAGCTGAGATCAGCGGCGCGGTCTCATCCGTGCTCTCGGGGCGCGTCGGGCCGCCACGGACCGCATAGTAGGGCGGCAGCATGTGCACGACGGCGTGTTCGTGGTCTCCGCGCTTGCACATGCCGAACACGCGGATGTGCATGTTGCGCCCGTTCTTGAGCTGGACGACCCGCAGGGTCGTGGCGTCGGTCTCGCACTGGCCGCTCAGCACGATCGACTTCTGCTCTTCCCTCGAAGCAGCCGAGACGATCTCCAGCAAACTCTGCCTGACCGCCTCGCACTGCTTGTGGCCCATCTTGGCAATCAGCGCCATGTCGGCTGTACTCATGCGGGACGTCAGGGCGCCGCACGACAGGAAGGCGACGCCCGCCAGCTTCGGGAGAGGCACTTCCACATCCGCCCACGTGCCGCTCGTGACCTTCACCTGCACCGAGGACGACGAGCAGGCCTTGCGCTGACACCTCTGGACTGGATGCCGCTTCTCGCCCCTGTGAATCACCGAACCCAATGGCCATCCGCACCTGGGGCAAACGTTCTCGGAGGGGTCGCCGAGGTACCCCGCCTGGACCATCAAGTCGCAAGCATCCTTGGTCTTCAGAGCCCTGAGGTCCTCGTACGTGTAGATCTTGGCTAAGGAAGACCTGCCGCGCCGCACGCGGGACACCCGCTGGCGCTTGGGCGTGTAGAACACGCCCGTGGCTTCCAAGCGCTTGCGTTTGGCCTGGGCCGCCTTGCGCGCCTTCCGCGCCTTGGCCAAAATGTCGCGGCGGCGCGAGGCGGCCTGCACCGACCGCTTGTTGCGACGCTTCTGGGGGAAGCGCTGCCCTCGCGCGCGGCTTCGACCCCTGGCCTCGGAGGCGGCGGGGCGACGGTGGACGGTCATCCCTGGCTCCAGGCGCGATAGCACGGGCGAGGCAGTGCGCGAGAGGCGCGGGCACCCGCGGCTCTGGCTGCCGATTCGGCCAAGAAACGGCTGCGGCGATGACAGCAACCATACCGGATGGACGGCGACGGCGGCGGCGGCGGCGACGACGACGACGTCTGCGGGGGCGGCTGGATTTCTTAGAACGGCAAAAGAAAATGGCATGATAACGCGCGGTACTTGTGGATAACCCTATCAAGACACAACATGTTGGCGGCGCGCGCCCCCAGCTCATCTGGGGCGCAGCGGCGCGCGCCGCCTCGGCAGCGCGCGCGGCATCAGCGCCCGAGCTGAGGGTGCCATCGCTGCCCGCGAAACCCGCGCGCCGCACCTGCCCGCCCGCGCTCTCGCGGCCGCCCGCTCACTCCTGACTCTGAGAACCGAGGAAAGCGTGCGCCACGTCCTCCTCCGCAGCCGAGGGCATCGCAGGCACAGCGGGCGCCCCCTCCTCGGCCAGCATCTGCGAGAGCTGGACCTCGAGATCGTCGCGGGGCGGGGCCGCGGGCCCAGATGCAGAGGACGACGCCGCGGCATGTTGCTTGGCGGGGGACGGGCTGTCGACATTGAGCGTCATCCCCGAGAGCAGGCGCTTCCGAAACGTCAGGCGCTCAGGGGACACGCGCTCTCGCTTCACCTGTCGGGAGGGGCTCAAAGATGATGTCCGCCAAGGCCGAGGCAGCGTTTCAGCGTTCAGAACGCGTTGAAGTGCTCCCTCAGCCCTAGGACCCCACCCCGCAGGGCCGCATCTTTGAACCCCCAAACCTGGACGAACGACGGGGCTGGCAAAGAACCGAGGGCCGCGTCTGAGGACTTCTTGCGGTTCTTCTCCACGGCGGAGTCCACGAGGAGCCGCTCCTTCTCCAAGAGCTGCTGGATATTGGCGGGCGGGGTCATGTCGCCGTCCTTCTGCAGTAGGTACAGGCGCTTCCCCTCGGCCGTCAGGAAGGTCTCGCCCTTGAAGTTAATGCGCGGAACATCTTTCTCCTCAGTGCCTGCTGGGCGCCAGTAGAGGTATTCCTGGGTATTCACCAGAAACGCAGAACGCTTGAAGAAAGCCAGCATGCATGCGCGGGTCGCCTTCTCGGAGAAGGCAGGGCGCACGAGCTCGAAGAATTCCTGGAACTTCACGGAGGGCCAGCGGTCCAGCTTCTCGGCATTCGGATCGTAAGTCTGGTCCGCCAAGCACCGAGGCTCCCCCTTCTTCCATTTCGTTGCGCCCCACCTGGCCCAGCACATGCTCTCGTACTGGCCGACGTCGAGCAAGGCCTACACCATCTTGGGCGGGAGGAGATTCAAGCAGCCATCGTCCACAAAGTCCCCCATGAGAATGTCGCCGGGCTCGCCTCGCAAGAAATCGATCTCAGGCGTGACGCGGATGCAACACCCCGCGGGGTCCAATCCGTGGACCCGCGCGTTCCTGCGGCACATTGCCATCAGGAATGCGCGCCCGAGCGGCGTCTTGCCGATGTTGGGCTCCCCAATGAGGACAAGCGAATCGTTGCTGTTGATCAGCTCCTGCATGGCTTCGAGAACGCGAAGGTTGAAGTGGTCCTCGCAGAGGATCACGTTGTTTTCGAACTCCTTCTTTGCAAGCGCGCCCTCCGCCGCGAGCCCGCTCAACGCCTTCGCCACCAGGGGGGCGGGCCAGCCGTAGAGGGGGGCGCCTTTGCGTAGCGCCTTCGTCTGCCATACCAGCTGCTTGAGCTCGGCCGTGGAGCGAGGCGCGTTCTTCAGGATGTATTCGAAGCCAGCGTTTATATCCTCGTCCGAGAGCTCGTAGAACTCGTTCACCTTGGTGGCCGTCTTGACGTCTGGCGATAAGAAGAAAGCCCGACACTGTTTGCCTCCGAACCGCTCGAAGGCGTATTGCCAGACCTTGACCCCCACCTGGCGGCGCGATCGAAAAAAACAAAATGGCGAGGGCGCCGCGCCCTCGCCACCCTTTTGTTTCCCCAATCGTGCACCTTGGGATGCTGGAAGCAGAGCTTCTTGACGCTCCCGAAAGCCATGCTGGCGAAGACGGCCGTCTTCGCCTTGTTGGGGATGACGCAGTGTTTGATTATGGTCTTCGTGCCGTCGGGGGCGTCAAGGATACAAATCTGCAGCGTCATGTGGTGTTGCGGCGCCGTCTTGAACCCGAACGGTGGCGGCAGATTGTGGTAGCTGTCGTCCTTCCAGGCCGCCTTGTATTGCTCGTCGAGCTCGGGGGGGACTGGGTCTCTATGCCCCGTGATGAAATCAATGTAGTGCACCAGTGGGTTCTCGTTGGCCCCGATGTCGTCCGTGAGTTCGAGAAAAGGCTCGATTTCTCCACGGGGCAGCACGCCCGTTACCATTGGTGCAGGAAGAGGGCGGCAATACCAGCCCTCGGTCGCCGATTTCAGGTCCTCGTAAGCGGCCATGCCGCGGTCTTGAATGACGCTGAGGGTTTGCCAGAAGGCGCACGCTCGGCGTTGCGATTGGGCCCAAACAGCTACGAGCAGCGAGGGGGGACAGGAAACGCTGGGTTCCTCCAAGATTCCTGGATTCCTGGATTACTCCTGTGTTCCTGGGTTTCTCCTGGGTTCCTGGGTTCCTGGGTTCCTCCTGGGTTCCTAGGTTCCTGGGTTCCTCGGTTCCTCCTGGGTTCCTAGGTTCCTGGGTTCCTGGGTTCCTCCTGGGTTCCTAGGTTCCTGGGTTCCTCGGTTCCTCCTGGGTTCCTGGATTCCTCCTGGGTTCCTGGGTTCCTCCTGGGTTCCTGGGTTCCTCCTGCGTTTCTCTTGGTTTCTTGGGTTCCTCCTAGGTTCCTGGATTCCTGGGTTCCTCCTGTGTTCCTGGATTTCTCCTGGGTTCCTGGGTTCCTCCTGGGTTCCTGGGTTCCTTGGTTCCTCCTGGGTTCCTGGGTTCCTCCTGGGTTCCTGGGTTCCTCCTGGGTTCCTGGGTTCCTCCTGGGTTTCTTTTGGTTTCCTGTGTTCCTCCAAGGTTCCTGGGTTCCTGGGTTCCTCCTGTGTTCCTGGATTTCTCCTGGGTTCCTGGGTTCCTCCTGGGTTCCTGGGTTCCTCGGTTCCTCCTGGGTTCCTAGGTTCCTCTTGGGATCCTGGGTTTCTCTTCCGCCTCCTCCCAAGCCCCTTGCTGGCTACCGAAAGGAACCCGAAGACGGCCGAAGAGCACCCGAAGTGCTCCCGCACGGCTCCCGAAAAACACCCGGAGGGCACCCGCAAGGCAGCCCGAACAGAGGCACCCGAGGGCACCCGCTGGACTGGCACCCGAAAAAAACTAGAAAAATCTAGCAACTCATAAAAAAAGAAAGAAAAAAACTAATAAAAATAACACCAGCACTCGGAAGTATGAAACCCAAAAAAAAAAACGAGGACTAAAAAAATACGTTGAGAAAAAAATGGCACCCATATCCTCCGAATTCGGGGGTCGACGCCGATAGTAAAATCTATGCACAAACGTCATAATGTGTTATATGCTTTTTGTTTTTCTCTTCAAAAGCGTTCAAATCTGATTTTTGCACTTAACGAGAAATGCTTCGCTTTCCGTTCATATGCAACGGCAACAACAAAAAAACCCACAAAAAAAATTCTCGAGCGTTTCCCCCTTCTGAATGGTATAGTTGGGGAGTTGCGCGGCACGTGTATACTCGCAATGCACTCCGCTAATTGCTAAGGCACCCGCAAGGCACCCGCAAGGCACCCGAAAGGCACCCATCCTCAGCAACCAGCTGGGCCTTGAGTCTGCTGCCGTCGCGGGAAGGGGATGGCGGGCACGAAAGAGAGGGTAACCAGAAAACTTGGTTGAGGGAGAGAGTGGTGAGGAGAGGGGAGGGGCATCGAAGGGACATTGAATTTGCGATGCCCCTGGGTTCCCTCCTGGGTCTCCTCCAGGGGTCTCCTGGGGCCTCTCTGGGGCCTCTCTGGGGCCTCCTGGGGCCTCCTGGAGCCGCCCGCTCCCCAGGGGGAGGGGTGGAGGAAGCGAAAAACCAAAAAAAACACAAGGAAAAACCAAAAAAACCAAAGAAACCAAACACCAACAGCCGAAAAACCAAAAAAACACAAGGAAAAACCAAAAAAAACAAAAAAAACAAAGATTTCGATACTTCGTCCACCCCCACCGCCCTGACAGCGAAAGTGTTGTAAACTTTGGTTTTTTTGTTTTTTTTGGTTTTTCCTTGTGTTTTTTTGGTTTTTCGGCTGTTGGTGTTTGGTTTCTTTGTTTTTTTTGGTTTTTCCTTGTGTTTTTTTTGGTTTTTCGCTTCCCACATCCCTGTGTGGCGCTTTCCAATCGAATCCCTTTGTTGCGGTTTCCAAAGGATTCCTGCTGTGAGGCGTTCCACTGGAATCCCTTTGGAATGTTTTCCAAAGGGGTCCTGTTGCGAGGATGGGAGGGAAGAGTGCGATTGCAACGCTATGCGTCTGCAATGCAATGCAATGCAAACAAAGAGGAGGACATGCATGCAGACAAACAGGAGGAGCAGGAGCAAGAGCAACCCACCATGAAATTTGGCCAAGAGAGTGGCCCACGGGAGTCCCATGCCAATCTGTTCATATCAACACTAAATGAATTGTACTATCACGAACACATGCGCGTCATGTGTTTGAACCCCTGGAAAATATTGCTGCTGCTACCATGAAATTCGACGCTAAAATAAAAAGATATACGATCGAAAATAACCCAAAAACTGATTCGATTTCTGTAGACGCTTACGATCGAATGATTTCATTGAGAAACTAATGCTCACCGCTGCATTTGAACTGCGAATGAAACAAACTGCAGGAAAGTGCTTAGATTATAAAATATGTGTGGTTACACACTCAGATATTGTGATCAGACTGCGTACTTATAAAAAATGCAAGTGCAAGAATGTAAACCCGAAACCATTCGCAAACATAGTCCATTTATCATTTCGACATTCTCGTGCTACTCGGACAAAAACACGTATGAATTTAAATAAAATAAGACTCTTTAAAGACAATCTTATTTCTCAATATGTCTGAACGACAAAAAAAACTGTTCTTCCGAAATATCAACGAGATATATATGCTAAACTCTTCTTATTGCGATAGTAGATGGGTATAATAAATATGGCGACTGATAAAACAAAAACATATACGACGATGAACAAAGAATCAAAATACAAAATGATCAGAAACATTATACGGCATCCGGTGTTTTCTCGAACCTGTTTCCATCTCGTAGAGTCATAAAATGGGTTCACGAAATACATCACTTAACTATACACGATATACTACAAGTTTCTAATTCTTCAAAACTATGTGTCTCACGTTAATGTTACTAAACAAACAAACAACAATGTTGAACATAACTCCAATATTCAATGTGTGATAAAATGCTATGTCACCTGACAGAGAATGTACTCTCTTGCTCAGAATTACACACACCTACAAACACACACAAGCACGATATATATATATATATATATATCGACAACACTCGAATCACGAGTTACAAAAGAATTAACTCGTGAGTTAATACTTTTCATCTCGGGTACGCACATCCACATCCAAAAAATTAAATCGCGAGTTAATACCTTCTCATGCTTCCACCGACAGAAAAGAAAGTTAACTTGCGAGAGAATTCTTTTGGTGCCCAACGAGACAGAAAATATCAACTCCAATGTAAAGCGTTTCCTACCCTTGCCAGTGGCAACATACTAATCTATGTAGAAATAATATTCGTGATAGCGAATAGTAAAGGTAGTGGCCATAGTAGTAGTCGTCGTCGTCGTCGTCGTCGTCGTCGTCGTCGTCGTCGTCGTCGTCGTCGTCGTCGTCGTCGTCGTGTGGCTAGTTGCGTGCGCTGTAGTAGTAGAGTAGTAGTAGTAGTAGTAGTAGTAGTAGAAGTAGTAGTAGTAGTAGTAGTAGTAGTTACTAGTACTAGTAACTAGTACTAGTACTAGTACTAGTACTAGTACTAGACAGTACTAGTACTAGTACTAGTAGTAGTAGTAGTAGTAGGCAGCAGCAGCAGAGCAGCTGGCTAGCCAGCCGCAGAAGTAGTAGTAGTAGTGTATTGAGTAGTAGTAGCAGCAGCAGCAGCAGTCGTAGTAGTAGTAGTAGTAATAGTAGTAGTAGTCGGAGAAGTAGTAGTAGTAGTACGGTACTAGTATACTGAACTCAGTAATATTACGTAGTAGTAGTAGTAGTAGTAGTAGTAGTAGTAGTGTAGTAGTAGTAGTAGTAGTAGTAGTGCCCAGTTAGTAGTAGTAGTAGTAGTACAAGTAGTCATTATACCAATAGTAAGGTGTAGTAGTAGTAGTGGTGGTAGTAGTAGTCGTAGAAGTAGTAAAACGAGTAGTAGTCGTAAAACTCTTAGTAGTCCATCTCTCAATCATCCCCTATCTCTCCCGTCTCTCGTTTCCTTGTAAGCTGTTGTCGCCGTCGTCTGCCGTCGACCTTCTCCCTCTGCTCTCACTCTCGCTTCTGCTTTTCCGCCGCGCGCTTGTGCAGCCAGCCCTCTAAATCGCAATCACTGAATTAATTTAGTACTACTATACAGAAACATCGCTGCACTCTGCACAGCAATTCCCGGAGAGCTCCCTGAGAGCTAGAGGGTTTTAGATTAGAAGCCGGACGGTGGTGGTGCCCGCCAGCAGCCCATCTTCGCCAAAATCCCCGCAGCGGCTCGCCCGGGGTCGCACCCTGTCCGGGAGAGCTTCCGGCAAACGTCCACGCGTACCTGCACGCGCGCAGGCACGCGTGGGAACGTTCCTGGCAGCGCTTCAGAAGCGCTGTATGGGGAGCCCCCCAGAGCTCCAGAAGCGCTTCATGAGAGCCGAGAACTCGCCTTTGCTCTCCGGGTTTTGGACGCTACCAAGTCAATACCGACACCTACAATAATACAACAAGGCTTATTAGCTACACGACGCGCCGCAAGCCGGCCGGTCCACTCACACAGCAGGGCTATGCGCGAGGCTGATTGCTTGCTCCAAAAAAAAACACTGCTCGAGGGCTCCGAGATCTGGTCTGGTCGTAGATCGCCGATCGAAGGCCTCCGCACCATCCCTGCCGTTTTGCTACCCTTGCCTTGCTGCTAGAGGACGTGGCTTTATCGTCGAAACCTTTCTGCATCCTTTGGGCTGGCCTTTGGAATCCCAAACCCTACAACCCAAACCCTAAAACCCTAGAACCCTAACCGCCAAACATACAACCCTGAATCCCTGAACCCCTTAACCCTAATCTAAATCCCGTCCCTAAACCTTTAAACTGGGCGCCGGCGGTAAACCGTCAACCTTTCTTTTTTTGCGTCTTTGCTGGGACCATCTTGGCCACTGAGGCCAGGTCCTACAAAGTCTCAGGCGAAGCGAAGTCTCTTAAAGACGTTCGGCACAACC